GGCTCCTCAGCATGGCCCTCACTCTCTACTCAGGCGAGCGGCGATTCATGCTTGACGGCAGCGTCTCCGACCCCTTCCTGCTGGACGCGGGCGTCATTCCTGGCTGCTCACATCCGGGGAGGCTTCTCAAGTGCGGCCTGCTGGTCCTCGCCGACGAGCACGCTCAACTTTGGCGAGTGCTGGAGCCGCGCGTCACGCTCGCGATCATGTTCGACGACTGCTTCGTGGGCTGTCACGGCCTTATGGCACAGGTCGCGGCATACGTGGCCCTGGCTACACAGGCCGTGGTCGCGCAGCTGGCGGCGCTGGGCTGCAAGGTGTCGGAGTCCAAGGGCGAGCTGCTGGCAAGCTCGCCCGAGTTGGCCTCGCTCGTGGCCAAGCAGATGGGCGGCTCGGCCTTCCCCACCGCGGACTCGGTCAAGAACCTCGGCGTGGACTACTGCCTCGACGGTCAGGCCTTCGTCGTCATCGAGATGCGCCACTCGAAGGCAGCCGCGCAGCTTCAGAGGCTGCGCGCGATCCGATCACAAGAGACACCCGCCGCGGTGATGGGTGGCCAACACGGGCCTCCGGCCAGCTACGCGGCACGGCCTCAGCGTGGTTGGCTGGCCTTCGCCGCAGCACACCAAGTGGCGGAGGCAGGTGAACGCCGTCCACCACGGCAAGGGCCCTGGCAAGAGTCTTGGCTTCAGTTTCCTCATCAGCAAGCGCCTGGCCAGCGACCCGCTCCTGGACCACGTCTCGCAGCCCATCGCGGCGCGGGCCATGGCCGCGCAGTTCAACTCGGACCGCACCGACCCACGGGCCCGCGGCAGCGCGTTCGCGGGAGCCTTGGCACGCAAGGAGGAGGAGGGCACAAGGGGCCTTGGCGGGCCGAGGGCCGGCATCGGCATGCGCGCTGGCGCGCCACCGCTTGGGCTGGCCCGCTCCTCGACCATGTCTCCTCCTCAGCGACCTGCAGCAGCCCATAGACCTGAAGACCCTGGGCTCGTCTACATTGACCAAGCACATTGCTGCGAGCCACGAGCGGCTCATGTGGCGGTACGCGGCCAAGCACCCTGGTCTCGATGGGGGCGCACTCTCCAGTATAAGGCGCGCCCTGCACCGCAAGAGGATGAGCAAGCAGACGGCCAAGCAGATGAGCTCGGCCAAGAACGCGCTGGTAGGATGTCTCTGGCAGGTGGCTCGGCGCTTCGAGGCTGAGCGTCCGCTAGCATCGTCGCCTCGGTGCCCCCGAGGGTGTCAGGCAAACGGCACTGTGCGACACCTGGCCCGGCAGTGCCCCGCCACGGCACTCGGCCGCGCCGAATGGGAGGCCAACGACGACGGCGACGAGAGGCGACCACCAGACGACATCCACTTCAGGACCATCGTCAACATGGCCAGCACGAACGAGGCCGAGGATCCTCTGCGGTCGCGGGCGCTCGCACCAGAGCACAGGAGGTCTCCCCCACCGCCCACAGAGGAGAGAACGGCTCTCAAGGAGGGCCGCGGCGACTTGGCGAGGCAACCCCCATGGGCGACCTGTTCACGCACGGCAGCGTCCTGGACCCGAGCTTGGTCTTAGCTCGCGGCGGCTGGGCTGTGGTCGTCGTGGGTCAGGACACGGAGGCCGTCAGCATCTTCGGCCCGCTGCCCTGGCCCTACCCTCAGGGGTCGGGCGCGACGGAGCTGGCCGCCGCCATCGAGGGGCTCCAGAACTGCATGCCCTTATGTCAGGATCTTCACCGATTGCCAGCTGCTCGTGGACGGCTTCGACGCGGGCAAGGCATGGTGCCTCCAGTGGCAGAGGCCCTACAGGGAGCTCAGGGTGCGCCTATGGGCGGTGACCGAGGACATCGGCATCGACAGCATCACCATCCACAAGGTGAAGGCCCACGCGACGCTGGCGGACGCGCAGGCCGAGCGCATCACCGCGCGGCAGCGGCGGGGCAACCACAGTGCCGACGCGCGCGCCGTTCAGGGCGCGCAGTTGCACTCTTCGGACGAAGCTGTCCGCGCGCGCAGCCTGCGCCAGGATCGCCTAGTCAGGAAGGCCCTTCGCCGGCTGGGAGCGGCCATGCAGGAAGGCGACGCCGAGTTGACGGCGGAGGACGGCAACGACGGCCCAGGCATGGCAGCAGTGCGGCGCGGCTGGCGCGGGTGGAAGTTGCGCTAGGGTAGCCACTGCAGCTGCCGCGACTGCCCAAGGAGGACGCGCGGTCGGCACGGCACGTGGCTGGAGGTCGGCAGAGACACGCTCTGGGCGTGCCAGGAGTGTGCTGGGCGCGACGAGGCGATCTTGGGTTCGTGGACCCCGGGCGCAGAAAGCGCCTCGGGCTCCGTCGCAGCGGCCGCGGCGGCCCTCACCGCGAGCGCCGCGCCCTCCCCCCAGCCAGGCCAGTGGCCCACACGGAGCTGCAGTAGATGATGGCGAGCGCCGTGACGGTGGCGGCGGCGGCGGCTCGGCTGGCAGCGGCGGCGCGAGAACAGTTTGCTGCGCAGCCGCCGCCGCCGCCCCCACCAGCTCTTCCACCGTGGCGGGGGCTCGACCCGCACGACTCCCACGAGCTATGGCGCGCAGACAACCGCAGATGCTGCGTCAAGTGCGGCTATTGGACGCAGAATGGCAGGATGGCATGCCTGGCGAAGGAGTGCCCGAAGGCCCCCAAAAACGACAGGCAGAAGGCGGTCCTCTGCCGTCGCAGGCGAGGGCTGCAGCCAGCGGGGCAGGGCAGCGTCGGTGACCTTGAGCCCTTGCGCCGCATGCGCAGGCGGATGGACGGATAGCCAGCCTTGCCTATCTTGGGCCAGAACCATGTGCGCATGTTCGCTCACGCACGGGATCGGGCCCGCTGCCGATGGCAATGCAACAAATCCAAGCGTGAGGCCTGTGCCACCAGGATAGGTCGCTTCGGCGTTGCTCGCAGTTTGCCCCTCACGCGTGCATGGCCGAGGCTCTGTGCGCGCGCCCAGTTGCTTGCAGCTTGCAGCGAGGGCTAAACCAGGTGCGCAGGTTCGCCCACACGCGGGATCGGGCTCCGATGCCAGCGGCACCGCAACCAGTCCAGCAGAGGCCAGGGACAAAGGACGGGATGCGATGTTGCGGGCATTCTCTCTCTCTCTCTCTCTCTCTCTCTCTTTTTCTCTCTCTCTCTCTCTCTCTCTCTCTGTCTCTCTCGCTCTCGCTATCTCTCTCTCTCTCTCTCTCTCTCTCTCTTTCTCTTTCTCTCTCTCTCTCTCTCTCTCTCTCTCTCTCTCTCTCTCTCTCTCTCTCTCTCTCTCTCTTCTAGCAGCATGGCTCCGTGTTCGGCGCTGCCTACCGCAGCTTCGGCTGCCTCTCTCGCGTGCCACGCTTCAGCGGAGGCTGACCCAGATGCGTAGGTTCGCGCACGCGCGGGATCGGGCTCTGAACCCATTGGCAATGCAACCAGTCCGAGTGTGAGGCCAGGAGCCTCGGGCCGAGTTGCTTTGCTGCTGGTCAATCGCCCGTGCTGCGCGCCTCTCTTGCGTTGCTCAGTCGTGGCTCGCTCGGTGCCCCCAGGCTCTGCCGCATGAGCGGAAGCTGAACCAGGTGCGTAGGCTCGCTTACACATAGGATCGGGATCCGATGCCAACGGCGTTGCAACTGTCCTAGTGCAGCTTGCCCTAGGGAAGTGCTGCGACGCTGGTGGCAAGGTGTTGTCCTGCGGCCGTTGCGCCCGACGCGCGCTTGCACTGCCTGGCTAAATCTGTCTGGCGCGAAGCGCCATTTCATATCAGCAGCACGACCGTGCACTGTGCTGCACCTCGCTGGCAGCATCAGGCTGCCGTTTTTTTCACTACCGCGATGCGCGCCTTCGCTTTGGCGTGCTAGCACGCCGTCCGTTCAATGTAGCTTCGGGCGCGCCGTGCGCGACAGCTGCCCGCGCGTCTGTCGACGTGGAGGGCGACCCGAGAGCGTAGGTTCGCCCACGCTCTGGCTCGAACTCCGCAGGCCTGAGGAGCAACCGCGTCAGTCGGAGTGGCCTGGAGCCTTGGACCTGGTTGCTTGCCAGGTGCGGCGCGCAGCAATGCTGTGCACCAGCCCGCTCGACCGCGCAGCGTGGCCTCTGCTAGCTGCCGCGCGGGCTGAGTCGCTCCGACTGCTGGGATCGGTCTTCCGCTTGCTTCGGCTGAGGCGGCTGATTGCTCTCGGCATTCGGACGAATCTGCGAGTGTGCGCCGAGGCGCACGTGACCGAGCGTTGCCGCCGCAGGGGCAAAGGGAAACGCCTCGGTCCGAGGGCCAGTACGATCTAGGAGCTCCTGACCCCTTCAGACGCGGGGATCGTCATCATCATCATCATCATCAGCAGCAGCAGCAGCAGCATCAGCAGCAGCATCAGCATAGTGCTGACATCCTCAGCATCCTCATCATCCTCACCATCATCGCCATCCCCCCATCATCACCACCACCATCAGCAGCATCAGCATCATCATCATCGTCGTCGTCACCATCATCCCTCCTCATACTCCCTTGCCTGCTCCTCGGCATCCTCTACCATTCGGGTCCTCCTTTCTCCAGTTCCTTGCTCCTTCTCCACCCCCCTCCTGTTTCACCCTGCCCTTTTTAACCGAGCCCTGTCCCTGGGATTTCCCCTGTTGCTCCTCCACGTTTTCGCCCGCCTCCCTCATGATCTGTTCCTCCTCATCACGTCATCACGACGCATCATGGCACCATCGGTCGTATCATCGCCTCCGCTTCTTCGTCGTCATCACCATCATAACAGCATCGCCTTCCCAAGCCATCTTCTTTCCTCGCCCTACCTTTCCTTACCCTCCTCCTCCTAGTTTATCACCCTCCTCGTCCTCATCCTCCCTCTCCCACCCCCGGCAGCTGCCATCATAAGGGTTGCTGGGGGTCCGGCTTCAATTTTGACACTACTGCGTCAACAGCTCATGGGGGGGGTCCAGACCCTACATTGGGCCCCAGGGAGGGGTGCCAACGTACCTCCACAATTCTGACCTTAATACTTAGAGGCGCCGATTGCCACCATCCAGTGTTTGTCTCCCTCCTCGTGCCCCTTCACCCCCCTCCGCACCGGCCCTGGCCCCCCGTCGTCGTCCCGCCGTCGCTGGGTGTCACCCGCGCGGGCGGCGGGAAGGGCACAGCCTGAAGCGGCGGCCTGCTGGGGAGGACGGGGCGCCGAGAACGGCGCGGGCGCTCGGCCGCCAAGAGCAGAGATGTGGCATTTTCGATCCAGTTGCCTGCGGCAAGTCACGCCACCGTGCCAGCACAGCATGCTAGGTGGCGCCTCTTCGAGGGTGGGAAAGCCGTGATGAGGATGAGGATGCGGATGAGGATGCGGATGAGGATGAGGATGAGAATGGGGATGGTGATGATGATGCTGATGGTGATGGTGATGGTGATGATGATGATGATGATGATGATGATGATGATGATGATGATGATGATGATGATGATGATGATGATGATGATGATGATGATGATGATGATGATGATGATGATGATGATGACAGTAAGTCGGTGTTTTCGAGGGGTCGACGCCGACGTCGGCCCGATGTTTGGAGGTTCGGAGGGGTCCGAGGCCTTCGCGGTCCCCCGCTTCCTCGGGCGAAGAAATCTGTGCAGGCGATCGTGTCCAGGCCCATCCAGGGCTCGGGATCGGTGCACATGCTGAGAGTAGGGCCAGTTGAGACAACGGTGGTTGGCCTTCGGGGGGCCCCGTGCCTCCACGGCTGGACGCAGCTCGGAAGAAACTTGCGGGTTGGGACCCTGGGAGGGGTCCGGGGGGCCGCTCTTGGGCTGCCGCTGTCTCGGATCGCCCTGCCCCGATGTGCCTCCCTGGCCAAGCCAGGAGAGCGTCTGCACCGGTCCTGGGCTCGGCAGGATGAGCCTGACCGGGGCCGGTGCACGCAACGCACAGTGTGCTCGCTTTTCTGGCGTTCGCCTGCCCGATTTGAATTTAGAATTATTATTAATAATAGTAATAATAATAATAACAACAACAACAATAATAAAAATAATAATACGAATGATAATACTAGTAAGATTAATAATAATAATAATAATAATAATAATAATAATAATAATAATAATAACGACAACCATTATTTAAATTTATATATATAAATATCATAACAACACAAAGAGACGACATCGGCAGAGGCCACTCCCGCGCGCACGTTTACGCCCTGCCGGGCTGGAGCCGCAGAGGGACAGCGCGCGAGGGTGCGGACATGGGTAAGGTCTCGTGTCTCGTCCATGGCTGGCGCTCCCCCCAGCATCCTTTCTGCTCCTTCCTCCCTGTTCTCCCCCTCCTCTCCCTTCATTCTTTCTGCTCCTCATCGAGAGAGGCCCAGAAACGGACAACAGGGGAGGAGCAGGAGGAGGAGAAGAAGGAGGAGGAGGAGGACGACGACCACGACGAGTGCTTCGGTAAGGTTAGCCTGCGCCCCCGGTCCAAACACCCAGAGACTTCTGGAAGCCCGAAGACGGCCAAGATCGCCCGGGGCAGATGCCAAGAGCGTGCAGCAAAAAAAAATTGTCCTCGACCCTCCGAGGGCCGAAGAGCTCGCTGCGCCCAGCCCTCCGCTGGGGAGCCGAAGAGCGCACTGAGGACGACGGCGACGACGACGACGAGCGCCACCATTCGTGAATGCCCTCCGTCGCCCCTCCATGCCTGCCCAAGCACACGATGCCTTGAGTTGTTCCATCCGCGGTGCCCTGACGTCCCGACCCTTTCCCCAGGACTGGTCTCTCATCTCGAGCCGCTTCTTGGCTGCCCCGAGGCCCGGCGAGGGCCCCTGGAGGCGGAGAGTGGTCCGACGCCTCCCGTCGTGATCCTCCTCACGGCGCGAGCGTGTCTGGGTGGAGCCCCCCCGCCCCCCCCCCCCCCCCCGACGGAGCCAGCCGCGGCCGGGTCAGGCAGCGACGAGAGCGGCGTCGAGTCCATCGCGGTGGCCGCGGACGTGGTCGAGGACGCCAGGCCGGCCCCACAGGGCGCTCGGCGGCGAAGCACCGCGTGGGCGGGCCGGCGGCGCGCGGGACGGCCGGCTCGAGGCTCTCGGAGTGCTCGGCCCGGGCCCCGTCGCGTCGTGAACAGAGATCGCGACGGGAGGTTTCTGGCCATCTGTGGCCTCCAGGGGCCCTCGAGGTCGCCCTGCTTCTGGTGCGGCTACGGTCTCGACAACGGGCTTGTGTCAAGAGATTGCGCGAGCTGCGACGGATGGCTCGCAGGAGGAGGGAGGAGGAATGACGAGGAGGGTGAGGCGTGCGAGCGTGGAAGAAGTTGCGCAGACAGCTCACCAGGGCGTGCGCACATGCACCGCAGCAGATTGCAGCTTCGCTCTCGCAAGCGTGCAGTTGGCTACCAATTTCACTGAAACTTGATCGGGCTAGAACGCGAAGCGACGATGCTGTCCAGCTCGCAGCTTGGAAGAGGAAAGAGGGACGAGGGCGACAAGGGGCCCTCGCTGGGACTTGGGACCGACAAGGAACGACCCAGGATGAGAAACCGGCCCAGGATAAAGGGGACCGCGCACTGGAAAGACCAAGACATCGCAGGTCTGGGGTGGACAGACAGGCTCGAGGATCGAGGATTTCGGGGAGGCTCTTCGCCTTTCTCGGCCCCGCTTTGAGATCCCGGCGTCGCCATCTGTTCATACCACGGGAGTTCCTCCACACGGCTCGTGAGAGGAGCCGGGGGGGTGGGAGCGTTGCCAGCGCGGAATCGGTGGCTCACTGGTCTCCCGTATGCCCTCCCCAGATTCGATGATCTATTGGGGGGGCGGGCCGTTGCCGGCCCCGGCATCGGCGACTTGATATTTTTCCGTGCAGTCTGCCCGTATGGTCTCCCCGTATGGCATCCCGCGTGGTCGCCCGAAGGATTTCCAGTACTCTGGGTGTCTTGATAAGCGTGGGAGGGTACCCCCCCGACGGGAGTCAACCTCGCCTCGTCGTCGCGCCACGACGGGGGTCGGAGCGCCGTCGACGCGCGGTGGCTGCCCGCGACGGGTGTCGATGTGGGGCTGTCGGCGGGGGTGACGCCCCCCCGACGCTTATTAAGAAACTCGGAGGATGCTCTCCCGCTAGCGCAGAACAGCCTGCAATGTTCGATGTGTTGTTTCGTTGCGCTGTTCAGGGCCTTCTGCCGCCAGGGTGCCATACTTGTTCGCGGCGGAAATCAGGGTGGTTCGGGCGCTCCAGGAGAGTCAGCCACGCCTGGTGGGGTGGGGGGAGGGGGGAGGGCTTCTTGGAAGCGCCCCTGCTCCTTGGAAGGTTGGGGGCCTTCTGTGCAGATTCAGGGCTGGCGCCTTCTAAGAAGGAGCATCCTTCTGAGAAGCCTTCCCCCCTCCCTCCACCTGCTTGTGCGCGCCGCCAAGAAAGGCCTCGTCTTCGGGAAAGGAGGAGGAGGAGGAGGAGGAGGAGGAGGAGGAGGAGGAGGGAGGAGGAGGAGGAGGAGGAGAAGGAGGAGGAGGAAGAGGGTGAGAAGGAGGAGGAGGAGGAGGAGGAGGAGAAGGAGGGGGAGGGCGGTGACGCCTCGCCCTCGGCGGAAGACCAGCCGAAACAGAGCCGAGAGGCTGCTATGCCGGCGGAGGCCCGCAGGGGCAGACACGGCCCCGCCGAGAGGCCGACGCCAGCGCGCCCCCGGGGCTTCCAGTGTCGGCCAGCGTACCTCGATCGGGTATTGCCAGGACCCCAGGTGAGGGGACCCGGTCAGTAGTATGGTCTCGGAGCACCTAGGTAGGCCAGAATCCCTAAACCAGGTCTGCCGTAGCTGGTGTTCTTCGGGTGACGGCAGGTCTGGTTGGTGGAACGGGGCGGGGGGGGCTTCCCCCAGTACACATCACTAAACCAGGTTCCACTAAACCCAGTTCTGCCAACGCCCGAAACAAGCAGCCGCCCCACTCGAGTAGGAGGTCGACTTCAAAATTGATGTACCCAAAACGTGTTGTTTCGTCGAATCTACTAAAAAGGAAGTATAATGTTTTGTTGATCGACGGAACAGCCTACACCTTTTTCGTAGAGTCGACGCACAAATTGATGTTTGACGCTTCGCGTGTACCCACCAGCCAGGTCCACTTCACATTCCTGGTGATCCAGCTCCCTTGGTGCTCGCACGTTTGCAGCTTCCTGGCAGCCCCTGCAGCTTGCAGTCCCCACCCTCGGCGCAGCTCAGTCCCGGCGCAGCTGTTCCCCCCGGCGGTAGGAGTCTAGCCTAGCTCGGCGCGCGCGCCGGCAATTACGTTGCTCGTAGCCCGAGCCAACTCTGCTTCTGCTGCCGGCGCTTTCGCCTGCGGCCGCGACAAACAAGTACCCACCAGCCCATCCAGACACGGATCGCCAGGCGAGTTGCCTGGACCAGGGAAGCGTAGAAGCATGCAGTGCAAAAACCGCTTTGGAAGTGTTGTCTCGGAGGTCTCTTGGAGCCAACTTGGGTCTTTCTTGGGATCCTCGCGGAGTCACTTAGGGCACTCTTGGGGCCCTCTTGGAGCTCGTTTGGGTGGTCAAGGGGCCCTCTTGGGGCTCTTTAGGGGCTTCTGTGAGACCTCTTGAGGTAATGTTGGGCACACTGTTCAGAAAAGGGGGGGTCTTAATTAAATTCAGCCCACCCCCCTCGGAGGCTCAAAAATGGTGTCTTGGGGCGCTCTTGGGGCCCTCTTGGGGCCCTCTTGGGACTCTCTTGGGCTGTCCTGGGGCCAGGGCCTCAAGAGCCCATCGGAAGCGAAAAGGCGAGAAGGCAAAAAATAATGATTTGTTCCATTTGTTTTGGAGCCATTAAGGGCTCTTTGGGGGGATCCTTGGAGGACCCGGAGGGTCTTGAGCCATTTTGGAGGCCATCGTGGGCTCTCTGAGGCCCTCTTGGAGCCATCTTGGGCCATCTTGGACGCTCTAACCTCGCCACTCCCTCCTCCCAGGCCCAGGGTTAAGGGGGTAGGGGGAGGGATCAAGACACCCTCCTAGATAGCAAGCCGTCTAGCTCACTCCCACCCGCCATCCCAACACATAAGTAACACACAAGCCTCAGCATGTTCAGCGGTCGTCTTTGGATGGGCATTTAGTGGGAACCAAAACCGACCCCATGTGCTCGAAGCTGGGGCGAGGTGCACCACGCGTGCCGAGCGCGCCACGCGCGCCAGGCACCAAGCGTGCCAGGCACGTCTGGTGCACCAGATGCGCTACGTGCTCCACGTGCGCCAGGTGTGCCGCATACTCCAGCTGCGCCAGGTGCGCCACGTTCGGGGCACGTGCAGAGTGTGTCTGGTGCGCCTGCGCATGTGACAGCACCCATCGGGAAACATGTCGTCGCCCA